GCCTTGGCATTGGCAGATAAAGGGGATAGGAAATTGAATCCTTGGTTTCGAAGGGGAGGGAGGGGGGGGGGGGGGAAGGTGGAAGAAACATTGCACTCTCTTCAGGGAGTCGTGGCCTGGTCACTCAAATCCGAGCCAAATACCAGGCTTTCTCCGTCGGATTCCAAGAGGATGTTGAACGACGACTCGTCCATCGGCAAGGACGGGATGATGGAGTCGTCGTCGAACACTGACAGAGACAACGGGTCCGAATTCGAGCCGTCTTTGTCCATCGACGAGGGCGGGTATTTGGCGAGAAACAGACTTTCCACGGGGGGAAGTTTGATCGTCGTCGTCGCGTTCGTCGCCGCCGTTGCGACCGGGGAGACGGCGGAATGGAGAGAGAGGGGAGGCTCCTCCTCGGGCACGGAGAGGCAGAGAGAAGACGGCGGGGAATGAAGGACTTCGTTCAGCGCTTTGATGTAGTTGATGGCCAGTCTCAACGTCGTGATCTTGGTCAGGTTCCCTCGTCCGTTGTCGGTCGGGAACGGGGGGATGGCGCGTCTCAGCGTCTCGAACGCGTCGTTGATCTCCTTCATCCGGTGTCTCTCTCGGGCGTTCGCGTTCTTCCGGCGGTATTTACTCAGAGGCGCCGGTTTACTCTTTCTCGTCTTCTCTTCTCCGAATTCGTCTTCGCCGTCCGGTTGCGGTTCCGGTTCGGGGTCTTCCGAAGGACTCGGGTGGGAGGGGCGCGATCGCTTTCGTCGCCCGTTCGACGCCGTGATCCTCATCGTCAACGTGGAACGAGGACGGAGACTGTATTTCTCTTCTCGTTTTCCCTCTTCCGTCCCGGTCTTCTTGTTCTTGTCGTGACTGTTGCTGTCGTTATTGTTGTCGTCGCGGCATGCCGCCTCGTCCAAAGATTCCGACATGGCTCCCGATTCTGCTGAAAATAAAAATGCAGCGACGTGACGGTCGGTCCGGAGAGAAGCATTTTAAAGGGCGGTCGTTCGTACGGGTGGCTGCGGAATCAGTCATCTTTACAAATACGTCGCTAAAAAATTTCGTAAAAACATTGCTATTTTGTTTGGAACTCACGAACGCGGCAGATCAAGCCGTAATGTTCTTGTTTATAGCGTCTAGCTGGTTTATTTTTACTCTCCATATATATATATTTTTATTTGTGTTCTGATCGAGTCGATCGAGATTCGTGAAAGTACCTATGCCGATGTTTCTAATTAGAAGACGCCGCTCCGGTTCCGCATAGATGTAAGATTTATCATTATTTATTGCCACTTCGCGTCCTGTTTCCATTCGCCACCGGCACGTCACCGAGCGAATGAAATCGGTTAACGTTTACGGGGTGCCATCGGCGACCGCGAACGAACGACATTTTCGCGAGGCCAGCGACGGAAGAGGACGAAGAGCGCAGTCGAAAAGATGGAAAATCGTGGAGCGTACTCGAAGGAAGACGCGTCGCCGACGTACCTGAAAGGGAGGTCGAAGAGCGTCGAATCCCGGTCAGACCACCATCGGGGTTCCTCGTCGACGTACGAGGCACGAACACGATCGCGAGCACACGGACACGTGCCGACGGCGGAGTCCCTCGATCGAGAATGAAGAGCGACGAGCGAGATGAGGAAAAAGAGCAGCAGCAGCCGTCCACCTGTAGGGGGAGTGGAGGGAAGGGGAAGAGAGAGCGGTCCGACGAGGAAGGAAAAGTGACCAGAGGATCCCTCCCTCCCTCCCTCCCTCCCTCCAGCCTCCCTCCCTCTTTCTTTCTATCTCTCGGCTCGTCGTCCTCGCATTCGAACGGATTTCGTTTCTCTTCGTTCCGAGGGACTTTTCTTCCCGGCGAGTTCGTCGTCTTCGATTCTTCGTTCGCGATTCCGGATTTTAAAGTTACGCAAGTGGAATATGCGTGGTGAACCGAGTGGAAAGCAGGTCTACGCGACGGGAAACACGTCTACGTGACGAAATAGCTTACGGATAGAAGGATGGCGGGTGGATCCAGTTTTTATTC